AGGGGCACTGTGCTCACAACTGCTCTGCTCCAGCAGTGAAGGAGTTAATCCAGAATCCCTGCTCCTCCCTGTTCCCTCTCCAGGGCACTTATCCTCTCTTCCCTCAATGTTTTGGGGAGCTGTGGGGCAAAGAGCAGCACAGGGGTGCAGGAGAGGGAGCTGCACAGAATCAGGGAGCCCTCCAGGAATGGGGCAAAGGCAGCACAGCATCTCTGCACACCAGGAAAGAATTCCCAAGGAACAGGCTCCCACTCCACCAGAAACTGGGAAAATCAAGGATCAGAAAACAGAGTAGGACTAATAATTTACAGATCACTTACAAAGGCTTTCATTGTAAGGGCTCTATTCAAAACCATCCACATCCATGAGTGGTGCTGGCTGAACTGCACAAACAACATGCAAGTGCCTCCCATGTTCATGAGTGCGTTCATGTGGAAGTGCTGGAAAGCTGAGGGGCAAATGCCCTGTGCTAAACCACAACCACAACCATGCCTGCTCACATCAAGGGGTTGCATGACTCTAACAAAAGCAAAGAATATTAAAGATTTAATCCCATTTAAACAGGTGTACATTCAGCTTGATAAAGGTGAAAAAGAGAACATTTCTTTCAAAAAATGTTGGAAAAAATCCAAGTAACAGCTAAGTTAGTTATCTTATTTTTAAAAATACAAGTGAACTGGTTTGTGTAGGATGCTTTGATACCAAAAGTAAGGTCTACCTATCAAAAAAACAGGAGCAAAAAGACAGGGAGTAAAAAACAAGAAGAAACTTTCAATCCATACTCAAAGCAATTTCAGTTGGGATTTACTGAAGGAATATGCTCCAAGGTGATAATGTCTATTAAAAAAAAAAACAAACACCACAACAAAATATGAGAAGTCCTTTCTGGACAGCATCCTCTCCAATTTGTATTGTACCATTCTTCCTTCTTTCCCTGTAAAATTCCACTGCAGTGCCACTCCATCCATTGACTTGCTCATATCTCAGTTCAAAAGGGAAAAAAGCAATAAAATTTAATTTCATCCAGCTAAAAATTTTGGCAGATATTCTGCACTAAAAATATACACCATAATTTAGAATAAATGTTCCAAATCAGTTCAATCCTTGGTCCCTCCAAGCACCATCATGAAATTTAGCACTTGTATTTCTAAACCTTGTTAACACATGTATGACCTTGATCAAAAAAGTGTATTTTTCGTTTCTTTAAGCTGCAAAACTAAAACTGCATCATAAAAAGGGCAACAGCAGGTCTGCCAAGCCAACTTAATGTTTTCAAGTTGCTTTTTTACAAGACTATGCTTTGCACATCTGGAAAAGAAACATTAAGAGGGTGCTCAATCAGCTATTTGCAGCCTTGATGGAAATAAAACTTTGATGTTCCTGGTATGGTGTTTATAAACAGCCCAAAGTTGTGGATACTGAGTCATGTGTGGCTTTGGCTTGCCCTCAGCTGAGGGGATGCTGCAGAGGGTGAGCAGGCACCGTGGGCACTGCTGCAGTGTTGATGCACAAACACAGCACAGTGTTTTTGGAGCTGACTTACAATTGAGTGGTTTGTGTCTTACTGAATTCCTTTCTCAGTGTTTTGTTGGTGCTGTCTGTATTGCATTATAGTTTAATCAGTGCCCTATAGTAAAATGGGGCTGTACATTTAATTTTCCTAAGAGAAGGGGTTTGCTGGACTTGTGAATGAGAGGACAGGCTGCTGTGTGTGTGTAAATGCAGAGCATTCACTTTTGTGGCAGATGGTCCTGTCTGAGCCCTGCAGTGCACACACCACAGCTGCAGTGCTGCTGTTCCAGCCTGCAGTGAAAGCTGCTGCTCCTGTGAAGAGCAGCCACAGCATCACCCAGCACTGCACACCTCACTCAGGATTTCTCCCAGCTCTTCCCTAGTTTCCCCTCCCTTTCTTTCTCCTTCCTTTTGTTTTGTTGCTGTTTTGGGTTTCTTCAATCTCCACCAGGGCAACAAAGCCCTGCAGCCACCCAAAGGCAGCGCTGGCTCCCCAGAAGCCCAGGAGTTTAACACCATGGATTGTGTCTCATTGATCCTCTGTGGGGAGCTTTCCTCACTTTCCTCTCTGCTCCTGCACGTGCTCCTGGAGATTTCCCTGACACCACAACACGAGGTCATGTGCAACTGCCCTGTTCTTCTGAGCTCTGCACCAGCAAATGGCTAAAAAGGATGATGGCAAGTGAAGCAGGATGTAAAATGTGACTTTGGAAATGCAGGCAAATTAATTTTTAAGTATGAATCCCTTCTATATAGATTTTCCATTAGCAGGAATAAAATTAAAGAAGTGTCTGCTCAACTGGGAAAAGAACACAATATAAACCCTAAGGAAAACTAAGTATATTCCTTCCCTTGTATCCATTACTGGGAGCTTACAAAGCTTCCTTTCTTTAATGAGCACTTGCCTGCTAGAAGTGATGAATATTTCAGATGCTCTTTCAAAATAAACATGGAGAACCTAATACAGTATTTATGGCACAGATGAATTTCCCAAACAAGCTGCCCAATAACCAGAAAGCAGCATTAAGACAGGAGTATAGAAAGCTATAAATAGTACACAAAAGGTACAGTGTAATAGTGTGCATCACTTTTATCCCTGTTTTCATCTGTCCAACCCATTTGCACCTGGAAAGCACTGCTTCTTTTCCCCTGTACAGAATTTGGGAATGGCCTGGTCCTCAGCAGCACACCTAGAACATGAACCCTCTAAGTAAATAAATGTGCATCTATCAAAACTCAGCAGAGTTGGGAAAAAACCCAGAGCTCCATGTATTATTGGAAGAAAGTACGACAAATCCTCCTTTAAGGAGCCTAAGAATAGTATTTGAAGAAAATACAAATTAAAAAGGACACATCCTGTTTGAATTTTGAAAATGTCAGTGGCCAGATGCCCTCAGCCACTACCAATCATAAAGTCAAACACTGAAGTCATAATTCAACAGAGAGAACAACACCACTTGTCATGGTCTTTAATGGTGTCCCAGCAACAGCAGAAAGCAGGTTAGAGCCAGGTAACACAATGCCACATTTCTAAAATGCCCTAGGAAAGAAGTGTGCAAAGCATGCAGCTTTTTGGAAGTCTGCTGCAGCTGACAGAGCTGCAGTGTAACTCAGGTGCCCAGCCTCACTTCTCCCACCCAAAACCAAAGGCAGCCCCACCAGCCCCAATGCAGCATTCCATGAGATGCCTCCAGAGCTACTGGATGCAAGGAGACCAACTCTTAGGACATACACCCCAGCACCACAAAACAAATACAAATACCAGAAAACACAAACCCAGTACCTAAAACCAAAAGGGAAATATCACAGAATCGGTTCAGCAAAGAAAAAGTCAAACACAACCAGCCCAGGTCCAACGACTGACATGGATATTACACACACAGAAGCAGACAAGCCTTTCCATTCAAGAATCAAGGGTGGAAAAAAACTCTTCAGAAGGTTTTTTGGAAAGGACAGGAATGACAGACTCCTATTACATAGCAACCTGCTGGGCCACCACATCACAAACAGAGGCAAAAGGCACTCGAGAGGAAAATCTCAAGACCAACCATGAGCCATGAGTGCAGACAGACACCCATCTGTCTGTAACCAAAAACCCACATTTTCCACTCTTCACACCAATTACACATCATAAACTGACTCCTTTACAAACACTCCTTATTTTGCATTTGTCAACAGCACAGAAGACAGAATGAGCAAATGCTTCAAGTTTTAGCTATACCCATGTGGTATATTACAAAGAGCAGCAGCATTAAAATGAATAATTAAGATCATACCCAGAACAACAAAAACACAAACATTTCAATGGCTTATTTTAATGCAGAACAAGCCCACTAATATTTGCCAGTGTTGTAAAACCACAATTAGTTTGCACAACTACTCCACAAGAAAAGACAGACACCCTTCAGGTTGGACAAGTTATCTGCTCCTTACTTAATCTTAACTTTGGTTTGTCTTACCAAACTTTCTGTAACTGTAACAATGACAACACAACTGTTAAGAAATTGGGATGATTTCAAGTAAAATGATACTACAGACCAGTCAGCATTTATAAATACTATATCCAATAACTTCTCAAATTTTAGTGTGCTGAAACAATACTAAATAACAATACACACTATCTTATTACATTTAGCTAGAATAGTTCAACAAAGCAAATTTAACAACATACTTTTTGTTTGCATTTTCACTAGCTTCATCTTACCCATACCATCCACCTTACTTGTCCCATTCACCCTCCAACATGTTAGTTTGCAACAACAGAATTAATGACTTACTTCTATTCAAAACAGTCTAAAGATTAACTGAGAGAAGCAATACCAATATACTACCTGTTACTTAAAAAAACAAACCCAAACAACCCAAAACATTAGCCATGAGTGCAACAAGTCTGTATTTTGGTATAAAAACTAAGATATTAGCATTTGAAAGACCAATCTTTTGTTATCATGAAAGATAGCCATTTTAAAAGTGTGGAAGGAATATGTTACCACTGAAACTGAAGGGTATTGTAAGTTTACAGGATTTTCAGTTTCAGTTGAGGTATTCTGAAGTTTAAAGAAAGGGAGAATATCAAAACTTCATTAAAGTAACTGTAAAAATTCCACTTTTGTTAACTTGGCTCGCAGTTTAACGTTGACTTCCCCCATGAAATTTCAGCTGCCATAAAACCTGTATGCTAAAAACATTTAACTGTTACGTTTGAAAGTATAAAACTAGGAGCAGAAGAAATTAAAGGGAACGTTCAATGCAAGGGAAAGCAAACTTTTGGTCTGCAGACTTGTGCAGGGAGGTTCAAATATGTCTACAACACGCTGAGGAGAAAGAGGAAAGAAAGGACATGTTCTGTGCTTTTAAAATTAGCTAATCTGCTTAATAGCTGGAAAGCGCCGCTACCCAGCCTTTAACCCTTTGCCTTCCTGGGCCCTATGACAAGAAAATGCTGCTCAAAACGGGAGGGGATAAATATCAAAGCAATCATCGGTTACCTTTAAAACTCTTTGCTTCCTCCTCTGAGGCCTTTTGTTTTCTGTTAGGACCTAAAAAAACATCAAATTGCAGAATATAAGTTGTGGTCACAAAGGCAGGCGGACACCTCCGATTTTTATTATGGAACAGCGATATTTCTGCAGTACCCCGAGTGCTTTACACGCGGCCCTCGCACGGGCCGGCGGCGGCTCCCGGCGGCCCGTCCGCCGCCCCCGCGGCGCCCCTCACATGGCGGGCGCCCCGCGTTCCCCCTCACGGCGGCGGCGCCCCTGCCCCGCCATCTTTGCTTCCTGCCGCAGCGGCGGCCGCGCGCGGCCCCGCGGGAGCGCGCAGCGCCGCGCAGCGCCCCCCGGCGGCCGCACAGCCGCCCGCCCGAACAAAGGGGCTCCGCAAAGGCCGCCCGCAAAGGCCGGCACGGACCCGCCGCGTCCCGGGCACGGCCCCGGCGGTGCGGGCCGCCCCTCGCGGGCACCGGGGCCAGGGTCGGTGGGCTCGGCCGGGGCCGCGAGGAGAACGGGGTCAGCCGAGGACACGGGCCCCGCGCACCCGCACGCGTGCGCACACGGGGCGGCGCAGCCCCGACCCTCTCCAGAGCGGCAGCGGGCGTGAGGCACCGGGCGGCATAGCCCTGGCCCTCTCCTGAGGGGCACCGGGCGTGCAGCGCCGGGCACCACAGCCCCGGTCCTCTCCTGAGCGGCACCGGGCACCACAGCCCCGACCCTCTCCTGAGGGGCACCGGGCGGCACAGCCCCGACCCTCTCCTGAGGGGCACCAGGCGTGCAGCACCGGGCACCACAGCCCCGACCCGCTCCTGAGCGGCACCGGGCGTGAAGCCCCGAGCCTCTGCTGAGCGCCACCGGGGGTGCAGCGCCAGGCACCGGGCGGCACAGCCCCAACCCTCTCCTGAGGGGCACTGGGCACCACAGCCCCGACCCTCTCCTGAGGGGCACCAGGCGTGCAGCACCGGGCACCACAGCCCCGACCCGCTCCTGAGCGGCACCGGGCGTGAGGCACCAGGCGTGCAGCCCCAAGCCTCTGCTAAGCGGCACCGGGGATGCAGCGCCAGGCACCGGGCACCACAGCCCCGGCCCTCTCCAGAGCGGCACCGGGCGTGAGGCACCGGGCGGCATAGCACTGGCCCTCTCCTGAGGGGCAACGGGCACCACAGCCCCGGCCCTCTCCTCAGCGGCACCGGGTGTGCAGCGCCAGGCACCGGGCACCACAGCCCTGACCCTCTCCTGAGGGGCACCGGGTGTGCAGCTCTGGGCACCACAGCCCCGACCCTCTCCTGAGGGGCAGCGGGCACCACAGCCCCGACCCTCTCCTGAGCGGCACCGGGCACCACAGCCCCGACCCTCTCCTGAGCGGCACCGGGCACCACAGCCCTGACCCTCTCCTGAGGGGCACCGGGTGTGCAGCTCTGGGCACCACAGCCCCGACCCTCTCCTGAGCGGCACCGGGCACCACAGCCCCGACCCTCTCCTGAGCGGCACCGGGCACCACAGCCCTGACCCTCTCCTGAGGGGCACCGGGTGTGCAGCGCCGGGCACCACAGCCCCGACCCTCTCCTGAGCGGCACCGGGCACCACAGCCCCGACCCTCTCCTGAGCGGCACCGGGCACCACAGCCCTGACCCTCTCCTGAGGGGCAGCGGGCGTGCAGCGCCGGGCACCACAGCCCCGACCCGCTCCTGAGCGGCAGCGGGCGGCACAGCCCCGACCCGCTCCTGAGGGGCACCGGGTGTGAGGCACCGGGCACCGACGGCCGGATCGCCCCGCCAAGAGTGAAATCGCCGCTGCCCGGTGGAGTTCGCAGCACAGGCCCTGCCTGCCCCTGCTCTCCCCAGCCGAGCGGCCGCGGCTGCAGCAGCCCCTCCAAAGTCCCAGCCCGGGGCCGGGAGCCCAGCGCCCACCGCAGCCCTGCTCCAACAGACTCCTCTGGCTTCACCTACTCCTACAGCACTGTGAAAAATGCATATATTTTATGATTGGCTTTTCACAAATATTCAAATGAATATTATATGCGTTGTGTTAGAAAGTAATGCTGCATGAATTCTCTTAAGTAGTGTGTTAAATATAGTTTTGGGTTATTAAAAAATGTTAAAATAGAAACTATGCTATTTAGGATACTTTTTTTAAAGAAAGGACTTGCAGTGAAATAGCACTGCCAGGATACCTAAATCTTTCCAAGAAAAAGAATTTATTGCCCTCTTATCAGAAGAAATTAACTTCTTCCCGCCTCGAAGGCGCTGTTAGGATTCAAAGGAAGAAGTTGACAGGATTCAAAGGAAGAAGCTGACACTGCCCAGACAGAATCCTGTGTTTGAGTGGAATTTATGAACCATGTATGAGGTGTATGAATATGCAACAGGCTGTTGCTTTTAAGGGTTAATCCTTTGTTAACGTGGCTCCTTTTTCAGGCTCCTGCTGCCCAGAAAAAGGTACCCGGACCTCTGTAATGCTTTGTCTCTACTTTCTCATATTGTCCTAATTCAATTTGTCCAAATTATTATTCCTCTAATTGTGTTACTATTTTTATAACCATTTTATTACTATTAAACTTTTACAGTTTTAAAACCAAGTGATTGGCGTTTTTCACAAGCACCCAGCTGAACAAATTACTGCACACGGACTGCCATGGAACTGGCCACCATATAAACATCAAACACAATTGTTTCCCCACAACTCCACCTGCTCCACACATCAGAGGGGTCACAGCGAGCCCTCATTCCCTAACCAGGGACAACAAACCAACCACAGCAGATCTCACACTGCAGGCACCCAAGCATTCCCTGAATTCCCAACAATTGACATCTAAACCAGAATGTTGGCCATGGATTTATGCACTAAATATAAAAACCAGTAAGAACACCTTCTCATCAGCTACAAACTGCAATCTGTTTTCTCATCTGATGCTAGACTGTAATGGAATTATTGTCCACTTACTGGTCCAAATCAATTAAACAGCAGAAATGCTCACACAACTCATTCCCCAGTGTAGCAATTCAATCAGAGAAAGCTGTCACCCATTTTTTGTTGTCTGATGCTACCTTGTATCTAAGCTCTTAATTTGTTGCATCAGAATGATGCATTAAATAGGATTTAGGGTAAGGCAAAATTAAAAGACTGATTTGTATTCTTTCCCCCAAATTACCCCACACCTGCAAGGGTCATTTTTGCACATTAAGAATGAGAGAGTGGAAATCACACACACTTAGTGATCTGATTCTTCTTGGTAGTTTTGGCTACTTGGATGCTTCTCAATACAGGGGGAAAATGAACAGTATTTTGTTTGCTCAGAAACCCAAGATCCCAAATTGTGATTGAGTCCCAGACTGGTGCATGCACTGGACAGCAGTGTCAGGTTTCCTTGTAACCTCATGTTAGAGGTCCTCGGACACAAGGAAGGAAAGAAACCTCTTCAAATAATTTCCCCTTAAAGGTTTGAGAACCTACACAGAAAATAAGGAGCAGTGAAGAGGCAATTTTTGTTAAATACAGCCTCTGAAAATAACTGGAGCACACACTAATCCTCCTCACTGTAATTCAGCCTGCATTATGGTCCCCGCCCAGGAACACAGCCATGGCAAAGGGCTGGGAGCTGGGATTATTTTACACTCCCACAGAATGAGTGTCAGTGTAAAATACAGGAGAACTGCACAGCTCCAGCTCCCTGCCCTGCATCTGTGGGTAGGGAAGGCTGCATGCAGCTCTGCTCATCACACACCTCCCCAAACTCCTCTGGCTCTGTGCTACCCCTTACAAAACTCTCAAGTACCCTACTCAGGAGTGCTTTTATGCGCACTCCCTTTAAAATTCAACTGGCTTAAATATTTCTGGAGTCTATTGTAAAATAAATACCACAAAGTCTAAATTTCTTGATTATAGCTGGGCCTGGCTAGAACACAAGAATTCCATTTTGCTTTTTTTTTTTTTCTTTCAGATTTCAGCACTTGATTTTGTTCCAAAGCAGAGCAAAACTTTCAAAATTCAAGAAGAGACAGATAAAATGTGGGAGACAAAAGTTCAAGCCCCTGGTCTGCATCAGGCAAAAATCCCTTACCACCAACATGTTCTAATAATTCTCATCCCCTTTTTAAGTTTTAAACAGAAATTTAATTTCTCAAGCCTCGAGAAACTTCCCCAAAAATAGTTGCATTAAGACAGATAGTAGCTGTGAAAGGTTCCTGTTCATTCAGCATTTTCAAGGAATGGCTGCTGGAAAGCTCCCAAGCAACTTGAATTGCAGCATCCTTTTTCAATATGTCTGGGTTTTCCAGCAGCGTGTTAAACACCCACAGACAAGCAGGCCCTTATTGTTATTTAATATTTCATATTACTCAGATTGCAGCAATTAAATAAGATGTCTCAAGACACCTTGGGCAACCCAAGTGAACTAACACTCAGTGACCTCATTTTTATGGCCAGTTTGTTGACTACAGGTCCCCCTGAATCCAGCTATTTAGTTCTAACAGGAATTAAAGCTCTCCACAGCAGATGGTTTCAACTCAAGAGGGCTCCCTGACTAGGTAGGACCCTAAAGCACGGCCACCTTGCCTTGATAAGCCCTGCAAAATGATGCCTCAGGTTTTAGCTTTTATATTTTTCACATTCTGTGCTGCTTTAGTGTAGTGGAACAAAATAGCTGTAAAAAGCCCTCAGTAACTGCAATGCTGTTTCAGAAAACAGCAGTCTTTAAAGATAAGACAAAAATGCGGCAGCATCATAATCCTGTGTGGGTAAGCATCTCAAGCTCTTCACTGTGAAGTATTCCTGCATTATTCATTCTGAGAGGGACAGTAACCCAAGATAAAGCCTTTTTCCTCTTCTTATGAAAGCTTCCTTACATTTTATTTACTGGGCTGCCCTTTCAAAAAATTCAATAAGCAAGAAAATGTTTTTCCCTTATATATTTTAGGATTCTTCTTTACCAGCTCCAAACCAAGCAGGCACAGTGTGAATTCCTCAGGAAGAGGGGCATTATATACAACAATATTGCTCACACAGGGGCTGGGAACTTGAGCCCACAATGCCTCATATCCAGACTTTCATGATGTCACATCCCTGCAAAACCCATTACACTCAGGAAGGTACAGTATCACCTAATGTTTATATGGCTGTTATTTTTAAATGGTATTTTTAAATCCAATACAGTTTTCAAAACTTTATCTGGATGATGTGTGAATTAATGGAAATAACAGTAACCAAACTATTGCCAGTTCCAAACATGCAGCTGATACTCTCCAAGGGCCGAGTGCTGCTGCACACGTGGGCATGGGTGCTGGAAAATGCACTTCAGTTCACATTCATGGCTTCCACCAGCCAGGCCTTACTCCCTGCAACTGGAAATCCACCTCAGATCTTAAAGAAAACCAACACCTTTCCACTCCTAAGCAGCAGATATGGACTGCTTGCTGCTTAGGAAAGAAAAAGTGTTGGTTTTCTTTTCCACAGTAGCTATGAAGCCATTTATTGCACACAGCTCTCACTGACTTCACTGGGACTTCTGCATTTTTTAGTTAGAATGGGGAGAGATAATTCCTTTAAGGCAAAACAGCAACATTTCAACTATGCTCCTGCTCTATCCCCCTACACCCTCCTCCCAGTGAATCACCTCCAAAAAATGCTTACATTCCACCAACATGAGAGAAAGAAGCATGACTCTCCTGAACAAGGAACACACTGAAGCCAATCTCATTTCATTATTTATGTTCACTTTCCATACCATGGACAGAGACCTCCAGTTTTGGGTTTTCCTCAGCTGCTTTCTATTTGAAACACATTGCTGCCACAGGAGTCCCAGTACTACCAGTCTGGGAAAACAATGGAATTCCCTGCAATCTTATCTAAAGGACAGCTGCTAAACTGAGTGACAGCATTCCCCATCCCCCAACACCTTGAAAGAGCTGATACAACACTGTAGAAATACTTTCTCATTTCCTCAGAGCAGTTTCTAGAGACTGAAAATGAACCAAGGCCTCTTTCTAGGAATATCTGAAAAGACACCAGGCTTCATTCAAATACAATTTTGTAAGAAAATACCTGACATGTTCTTAAATGTCAGGAATACTTCATTTCCTCCATGCAGCACCCTGAAATTTCATACAAAATTTAACAAGAAATGAAGGAGGCTTCTGGTGCAGCTCTGAATGTATCATACAGAATGCGACCACTCAGGTGAAATAAAAGCAGCCAAAGGAAAGAATAAAAACAAGGAATCTCTCATAAAGAAAGTAAAAGGAGTGCCCAGAGAGGACAAAGGTGAAGAGGCAAAGCTAATCTGCAAGGAGTAGGTCAGGCTGAGCAACAAGAAAAGCAGTATGTTCAGCCTGGAAAACAAAGGCTGACAGAAAAGCTGGAGTGCTCCCTTTCACTGACCCTGCCAAAACCCTTTCTAAAACACGGCTTTTACATCCCTTCCTACCTCAGCTCCACAAACCCTCTCCCATGAACTTCTCTTCAATCCCACTGACTAAATACACAGAAGGACAATGTGAGTACTCTCTTGCTGTAAAAGGTCAGGATGAGTCTCTACCACCTTTATTGTTTTAATATCCATCTGAAGTCACATTACAGCTGTCCCTCTCCTCACTTATTTTTTAAGAGCATTAAGGAGCAGCTGATACAGAAAGAGGTTTGTGAATGAATTCTGAGCCAAACTGTTTAAGCCTACTTCCCTAAACATCATACCCTAAAATATACTCCCCCCACAAAGGGGAATACACCATATCCCCTCACTGCTCCAGGACTCTGCTTTGTGCTTGCCTACCTGAGAACAGAATGGACTTCTCTGCCAAGCCTGGTGAGCACAGCACAGAGCAGGGCAAGCAGGAGCTCTCCTGAAGCCTCTGCAGCTGACAGGAATTCCTACCTGCTGTAAGAACACAGCATTTCCATGGAACTGCTCCTCTCAGAGCACAGCCGGTGTGCAGAGACTGGAACCTCAGTTTCCCACATCCCAAGGCAGATGGGATTTAACTACCCAGACAGCCTCTCCCCTCTGTGCTTCAAGTACTATTGGATCCCGTGAGGAGAACACTCCCAGCAGGACCCAGCACTGCAGAGTCTCACTGCAGCTCAGGGAATTCAGTTGGGATGTGGGAAATCTACCTTCAACTCCCTACTTACCTGATTCAAAGCCTGATCTTGAAACTGAAATCCCTCAGGAGGTCAGTGCTGTTATCACATGGGCATACAGACTGTCTTTTTCCCCTCCTCTTTGTTCCAAAAGTTATCACCTGGGTTATAAAAGGCTGATGGGTCAGAAAAATGAGTAAGAAACACAGAAAAAGAAAGGATGTATGGGGAATGTCGTAAAAGAGAAAGGGAGAGAGGAAAGAGAAGTGAAATGAGAGAAACAGAAGAACAGGCAATTAGAAAGGCAGAGAGATGCGAAAGGTGAAAATGCAGCTACAACTTGGTCCTGAAGTTTATAAATTGATTTCCACCAAATCTGTCATCACAAGCAAATTACTGTAACTGAACCAAAGAGCAGAAAACATGCCTTCCTTAGCTTTTAGCCTTCAGTATTTTGAAATACCAACACTCTCCCTTGTAATTCACTGTCTCCTAAGACTCCCCTCAATCTCCCTCCTTCCCGCATTCTGTGCCTAAGTCTTCCTCATTTACGCACTCCAACATGTTTTGGCCAACATACCAACATCTGGGACACAGAGTTAAAGCCATATTTACCTTTGATTTGACACATTTATATAACAGGAACAAGACTGACTCCAGCTCACTCTAACCTCTGTAGTTGACAAGGGGAAGTTACTGCACAACCTGTTAGCACCAACGGGAACCCTGAACTCTCTGAAGCTGTCATGCGGCCAGCACTTCCCTTTGCACAATTTTAAGATGCACCTCAAGCCTCAGAAGAGTGACTTAATTTGCAACTCCTCTGTCCTACCTCAAAAGGCAGCATGATTGGCGGCGGTGGCTTTTTCAGCTCCTCGCATTTTCTCTTTTTGCATATCCGGTGGCTGGTTTTGCGCTTCCTGCAGCAGCTGCACTCCTCGCAGTTGGTTTTGCGCAGACAGGGCTCGCACACCCCACACCGCCTCCGCTTCTTCTTCTCCAGCATAGGGAGCAGAGATGAGTATGGAAGAGGGTAATCACCAGCTGGATTTTTAACAGAGCATGGCCCTGAGGCCTCAGCTGCTTCAGTGCTGGTGTTCACGTTGTTGTCCTGAACCAAATTCAAGCTTGCTCCGACACTTCCCAGCTGTGATGAATAATCATTATGCTGCAGTCTTGAGTCAGCTGGCAAATCTGCATTTATGGCTTTTGCTGAGGCGAGAGCAGAGATTCCCATGCTTGAAGGCAACTCTGAAACAAAACCTGCAGAGAATTGTCCAGAGCTTCCAGCAGAGATTTTATCAACTGTGCTTTTTCCTAGATCTGAAGATAAAGTGGGGACATACCCTGAATTCAAAATTAATGTCTCTGCATCGATACATTTAACAAGCTGTTCAATGTCCTCTACTTCAATGTTGTTTAAAGAGGTATTGGAGACTGGTTCACATACTCTAAATATGTTCTTTGTGTCAAATTCTGAATTCTCTTTTGTAAAGCTCAAATCTGAATTTGAATCAAGTTCTCTGTGAATGGGTACAAAATCCACAACCAGTTTCATGGGGTACTCTGCAAGTGAGCTCGCACCTTCAAAATGTAAAAGCAAATTTGATTCAGAGGCAGCTACAGAACTGGAATTTGAACCAATGTCTTTATTCTCAGATTCCAAACCCCAGCCTGCCTTCAAGCAGGAATCTGCCAGTGACCTTGCATCTTCTAATAAATGTTCTTGTGAGTTAAACTCAGAGGTAACTAGAGATGCAGAATGCAAGTCTTGTTCTTGCCTAGGTAGCACCATGTCCAACCCTGCTCCAATGTGGAATTTGGCAAGTGTGACTGACTCTATCAGCACTGCAGAGCTGAGGCCTGAGGTATCAACAGAGCTGGAGTCAGGTTCTGTACTGTTGGGCACCACATTGAAGGGAGCCTCTGCAAGCACCTTTGAGTTTGATTCAGAGGCAATTCCAGAGTCAGAAGGAGAAGCTGGAAGCACCAGGGCAGCACTTTCAACAAATGCTTCAGCCAAACTACCTGTATCAAGATCACTGAGTATCTGCTCACAGGGCAGGTCTTCAAGCTTAGATTTCAGCTCTGAAGCTTCTGTACCATCATCAGTTAGGTGAGTGTTTGGAATGGAGTCGTCTGTTTCAGATATTTCTGCCTCCTGGTGCTGGCTGGCACATGGGATAACAGGCTCCTCCTCACCTGCAGCACACAGCCAGCCCTCCACAGGCAGACCAGCTAACTCCTCTTGAGCTACATCTTCTTTCAAAGCTGTTTCACCTGTTGCAGCATTTTTCTCTTCTACCACTGCCAGGGCTTCTTGTTCATGTTTTTCCCTTGTTTCCAGCCTTTTTTGTGCAGCAGCTTTCCTGGGCTTTGCAGTTATTGGAGTTTGGGCCAAGCTTCTGGAGAAGGATCGGTTCCGGAGAGCCATGGTGAAGCCATTGATGCTGAAAGAATCCTGGCTGTGGAAGAGGATACTGTCAGCCTTCTCCAAACTCACCCAAGAGGCTCCAGACAAGGTCACATTGCTCCTGAGAAGTCTACCTGAAGAGCTCATGATTGGTTTCTTTTCTTGCTGTTTTTTCTTAACATCTTTTTCTTGCCCTGGCTTTTTACCTTTTCCAGAACTAACAGCTTTTGTGGAAGCCTTTGTGCTTTTCTTTCTCACTTGGCTAGATTTCTTTTTGCCCTGGTTAGTTTTCCTTTTGCCAAACTCTTCTTTTTTGGCTGATCTGGAAGGCCTGGCATGGTGAGCCATGTCTGTGGAGCAGGAGCAATGTCAAGAGGAGAGATGGAAAAAAATCATGAGCTCTTGAGAGACCTCTTCAGCAGGAAACTGCATACTCCCATTGCTGCCTTCTGTGCTCATACAATGCCAACTCTGAAACAGAAAAAGATACAAAACAGCATTAATAGACTTCTAATTAAAAAAAGGTGCACATATATTCAGCTCACCATTTTTGATATTTAAAAATACAGAAGTAGAATCAGAAATAGCAGTGTTGGGTGTTACGTTCAACTAGCACAAATGCTTTTAAAATATTTGCATACTATAAAATAAAAAGGTTGTCTAAAGAGCTGTAACACAAACAAAAAAGCAAACTGAACTCAAATGATCAGGCAACACCACATATTTACTATTTTATGTCAGCACTAAAAAGTTTGAGTTTTCTCAATTTTATTACCAGTTCATTAACCAATACACTTCCCCTGAGTAAGGAGAAGTTAATATTTATCAGTGTAAGGACACTGAGGAACAAAAGAACAAAGCTGAGTTTATTTTTTGTGCATACTCAATATATCATCACAGGGCATCCATCATTCTTTCACCACCCACTGGCAGCCCACTGTGGTGAATTTCCATACAAAATGGGATAAGTAGCTCCCCAAAGAGATCAACCTGCGATTTTTACAGGGGAACTGGACTAGGGAAGAATGATCTTTCCCAGTGTTACCTTCCAGAATACCTTCACAATGTATTACATTCCAGCCCTTAATTCCATACTGGGTCTATATCATGTTTTATGCAAGACAGATGTCTCTGCTTCATCACTAAGACTTAACTTACCTTCAAAAAACCACCACACATCTGTCCCAAGCTTTTATACCCAGTCACAACCGCAATGCACAGGCCCCTCAACTCCCCAAACAAACTCAATCATCTCAAAAGATACAACAAAAACAGTGCCCACCAAACACACAATGAACAGGCTGAATCAATAGCATCCCTCCTCCACAGCAACACTTCCAGCCTGGAGGGACTAAGCAGACACGTGCAGCTGTTTACAGTCATGGCTGAAGCTTCAAAGGTCGCACAAGACACCTGAACAGCTCCCACAGAAGCTCTCCATAAAAGCTGGGTCAGACAGTGAAACAGTAAAATAAACACAACACTGAAAGGAAGGTAACCCGAGTGCTCTCCTGCCCCTGCCCTTCTCTGGAGGCACATGGGGGAAGGGGACATGGCCATCAGGAGCCACTCCATGAATCAGAAAGGGCATCACAGCAGCAGGCCCATGAAATAGCTGTCGGCAGCCTGCAAAAGCCTCCCCAGTGTCTTGGGGCTGTGACAGAGACTGGGATCTCGCTCCAAAGGATGGCCTGGAGGGCTGCAGAACCAGCTGGAAGCAAGCAGCAGGCACATCTGCACCCACGGCAGAGGCAGGAGAAGAAACCTGAGCTACTTCCAGAGCTCACAGCCAGGAGACCAAGGAAGAAAGCAAGCCATCAACAAAGACCAGGCAACACAGCAATGTGTGAATCAGGAGGGGCACTGAAGTGACAAAGTCTTTTCTCTTTATCAGCCCTAAAACAGGAGCAGAATCACCAGAGAATACAGGAGGCCAGCAGTGGAAACAGCGAGTGGATTTTTGAGAATGCTGCATGTGAGTGATGCTTTGCTCACACTGTTTGCTTACACAAGCAGCTGTTACTGTGCAAGTTCAGGAAGCATGACCATCAAAATTATCAATCTGAAGCTTAATTTCTAACAATCTGGTAACTTTTTAAATCATTACTACAAGTACATTATAATGTCTTTATGTGCATTTGGACAGGGATAGGACACGGAGGAATAGCTTCAAGGTGAAGGAGGGCAAGTTCCCTCAGATACCAGAAAGAAGCTGTTCCCTGTGAGGAGGTGAGGCCCTGGCACAGGGTCTGCCCCAGCATCCCTGGCAGTGTCCAAGGCCAGGCTGGATGGGGCTTGCAGCAACCTGGGCTGGTGGAAGCGTCCCTGCCCATGGCAGGGGCGTGGAATGACATGGGCTTTGAGGTCCCTTCCCACTCAAACCCTTCTGCAATTACATAATTTGAAAATTGTAAAATAATTGCTTCAGGACTGAAGAGGCAAGATCATCCTGAAATTCTTTGGTTGGTTCTGTCATAAAAAAGAAAAAAAATTAATACAGAGAAACACACCTGTCTGGCAAGAATGTAGAAAACTATCAATGCCAAAGCACTGCTTCTCTTCACAGCCAAATTTACAGAGGCTATGAACAGAGTGGTTCAAGACTTCCCTTTTTTTTGCTAAAAAAAGAATGCTGATATTCATAGGAAATTGCCTGGCTTTAAATGCTGCATTATAAAAGATGGCAAAGGCTTTGTCTGACTCAGAGATGATAACACAGGGTCACAAGAACATCAACACTTTAATCCATTTTGTTTC